TTTTAACTTCAATTTTATTGCATATTTCCCAAATACATAAAAAAAATCACATTGATGGACTCTGAAAATCAAAAGCATCTGCCAAATGTATAAATGTAAATGCACATTTTTAAAGGAAAATTGTGCTGACATGATACCTTCAGTTATGTCTAAAACTATTTGGGGGGAAAATTAGAAGTGCATGTTTTATAATCATGATTGGTGTTGGTTCAAGATCTTGGTTTGATTTGACTTCGGCGTGATATTAAGATGTAACACAACGACACAGACAAGTATAAAATGTTCTGAATCAAAAAGCATAAACTCCCATTCCTACAGTTGCCAGAGTGATTCCCACACCTAATGCAAACTGGAGCATCGGCGAGTTGGAGAAGGTTTTTGGGGTTTTGGATGCTGTGTCGTTTCCTTTTTCACCTAAACAAACAAAATGCAAGATTGTAACAAAAACATTAGCGTATACATGTACTATTTCTACCTGATTTTTGACTTATTTCTTGATACTCACTCGAAGCTTCCTCTGTGATGCTCAGCATTTTCTGGAGATCATCAAAAACCTGTTTAAAATGACAAATACAAACATTGCATCAACTTTTAAAGTCACGCCTCTATTTTTCAACCCTATTTTCTTGTAAGAATATCTAGACTTTGAATTACTTTTGGATCTATCTAATGTTCTATATCTATCATTCTATCTGTTGCTCTTTCCATCTATCCCTCGTTCTATCTCCATTTATCTACAATCCTTCCATCGATTATTGTTCTATATCCATCCATCTATATAGATTATCGTTCTAGATTTGTCCATCTATCGATAATCGTTTAATATCCATCTATCCATCCATTTATTATTGTTCTATATCTATCCATCATATCTATCTTTCTATCTATCTATATCAATAATCGTTCTATATCCATCCATCGATTATCGTTCTATATCCATCCATCCATTGATTATCGTTGTATATCCATACATTGATTATCATTCTATATCTACTTATCGATTATCGTTCTATATTATCCATCCATCGATTATCGATCTATATTTATCCATCTATCTATCGATAATCGTTCTATATCCATCCACTGATTTTTGTTCTATATCCATCCATCTATCAATCGATAATCGTTCTACATCCATCCATCGATTATTGTCCTATATCAATCCATCCATCCATCGATTATTGTTCTATATCCATACATCGATTATCGTTCTATGTCTTTCGATTATCGTTCTATATCCATCCATCAATTATCAATCTATATTTATCCATCTATCGATAATCGTTCTATCCATCTATCCATCCATTGATTATTGTTCTATATCCATCCATCTATTGATAATCGTTCAATATCCATCCATCCATCAATTATTGTCCTATATCAATCCATCCATCCATCGATTATCGTTCTATATCCATCGATTATCATTCTATATCCATCGATTATCGTTCTATATCCATCGATTATCATTCTATATTTATCCATCTATCTATCTATCGATAATCGTTCTATCTCCATCTATCCATCGATTATTGTTCTATATCCATCCATCCATCCATCCATCTATCTATTGATCATCGTTCTATCTGCATCCATCTATCCATAGTAATAATTTCTAACGTTTTTCAAAGAAGTTATATATTCTCACCAAGGCCGCATTCAAAAATACAATAAAAACTAATATTGTGAAATATTGTTAAAATTTTAAATAACTGTTTTCTAATTTAATATGTTTTAAAATGACATTTATGCTGAATAAAATTATTAATTGATTTAAAATAAATTAACTATATATATATATATATGAACATAAAAGAAGATATCAGTGCTGACCTCAATGTTAAACTCAAAAGCTCTGGTAGCCTCATCCAGCACGTCCTGCCTCTGCTGTTCTGTTAACTCAATGCTGTTCATTCTGCTCCTGTACAACTGCTTGAATCTGTTGGGGCTCGTCACTCCAGGAAACAAGAAGAATGCAATACCCTTGCTGCCGCTCAGTCCCAAGGATTTCTGGGTAATTTTGCCCAGCACTTGGCCTCCTGACAGGTCGCCGAGATAGCGTGTATAGGCATGTGCCACCAGAAGATCCGGACAGTTCTTGCCAATCTAAAGGGAACAGAGAGCGCTGAGTTAGAATGAGAAGCACTGGAACGCAAGAGCGTTGAATTCTAAGATTTCACATCCTCATGCATTCCACTTATGAGATGATTGACACACTCGCCTCTCTCAGTCTCTGTGTGTATCTGTGTGTGGCGGCCGGCACTGTTATTCTCTTCCTCCAGTGGGGACCAAAGAAGTGCTCCAGGTCCATCTCCAGAGACTCCAGTCTGGCCAGCTCCTGAGGGAAGTAGATGGGCTGAACGGAAGGATGGTCAGCGTTCCTGTCCAGCTCTTCCTCTAGCGCTTGGTAGATCTCATACAGAGAACACAGCAGAAGCTGGAAAAACACATGGAGAGGAACTTTATTACACATGACACAGATGAAGTTAGCTGTTAGTACACTCTTGACAGAACCCTTAAAGTGTTCTGTCAGGAGCTCCATATTTAGAACCTTTTAGGGGTTCTCATCATGGAATCATTTTATGAATTTAGTTTTAATTAATTTTTTAATTAAAATTTAACCAATTAAACAGCTCGTAGACACTATAATATTAGGAAAAAAATTAAATAACCTGTGAAACATGAAATTATTAAGACATTTCTCCTTATATAGAATCATTTTTGCATAAAGCGTTCTTTAAAATTAAGTCAAGAACCCTAGTGTTCAATATAAAACCCCACTTAACCTTCGAAAAAAGTAATGACTTGTTGAAGTTTCTCAGACTTCTTAACACTATTTATTATTATGACTGATAATGTGAAATCTAATGATATCGTTTTAAGAGATATTTAATCCATTTTAAACTTTTTGCAAACAATATGTAGCATAATTCATACATTTACAGCCTTGATATTTGAATTATCTGTAAATTACTAAACTGTAAACTGCTGAAGACGGCAATTGATCCAGTAATACTAACACTGTCTCTTCTAATCTATTTATTATTTAAGAATATATATATATATATATATTTTTTTTTTTTACATGGACTGTGTAAGATTAAACTGAGAGGGGTTGTAGCACTAGCATATTGTTGTTGTTTTAAGTCGCTTAAGATAAAAGCGTCTGCTAAATGAATAAATGTAAATCCGTGATCACAGCCATTTGACTGCTTTAATTAGGATAACCGGCCCCAATACATCAATCAAACAAATAACATAATCATATCAACTATTAAATGAGCTAGAGAGGGAAGAACACAAAAAAAAACAAAAAAAAAAACTGCCAAAAATGTATGGTTTCTGAAACTTGCCAAGGCAGACTGCCAGCCAGCCACTGACAGGTCACGTGACATGCCAAAAACATTTATTTTAAACCCCTTTATTGTTTCAATTTATAATAGGCTAGTTCATCAATTTGTTTACATGTTATAGTCCCCATTGTTTGTTTGCATCCCCCTAATATATGATCTTTGTGCAGCTATATTTACCTTGTACTGTGTTTGCGTGATCTGTCCTCTCTGGTAGTTGAGCATCAGTTGTGTGTTCTCAGCTCGGACGTGACTGTCTTTGGTGGCAGCTTTAATCTGCTCAGACAGATCACTGCAAAGAACACAATTAAGGCACACTCACTCACTGATTTATACTTATGCTTTTAAGAATCACTGACTCGACTCGATATCTAGCACTGTAACACTTTATGCACAGCTGCACTTCCTGAACTTCAGCCAGCTCCTTTGTTTCCTGTCTTCCATTATTGGACAAACTGATCAATCCACGTGTGCCTGACCTCAGTAGTCACAACAACAATAATCAGACACACCTGGATTAATCAGTTTGTCCAATAATGACAGACAGGAAACAAAGGTGCTGGCTGAAGCTCAGGAAGCAGTGCAGCTGTGCATAAATCCAATTGCTGTAACTTCTACTTTTGGTATGATTTATAAGGCTTAATTGCTGTTCTCATAATCACTATGAAATTAATGTGGTTAGACATTTTTACCTGTCAGAGCCATCTTTCGGTTTGCTTTTCATGGATTCCATTCCTAAAACAACAAATATTTGTTATTAAATCTCACAATGTCCACTGTAATATACATACATAAAGTTGTGCCGTCTTACTTGCGATGTCGATGTCCTTGTGTGTTTGTTGCGGTCTCTCGTTCTTCACAGTCAGTGTCCACGGAGGCTATGATCTCCCTAACTGCGCCACTTGGTTTTTATACGATTTCCTTCCCATCCAGGTCACTGGATTTAGTGAAAAGGGAAGTGAAAATGCCGAGGTAGTTTCACATGGTTACACTAACCATGACTTGAGTTTTTTTTTTTCCGACACATGAAGTCACATGAGGTCAACATTTGTTGTTTCTGTCAAATATGTTTATATGGGTTATAAAGTTATAAAGTGTGTTGCAACGTTTGTTATTAAGAGTTATAACGTTTTTTTAAAATATATTATGGGGCATTTTATAGTTGACGATGATTTCATGACTGTACTGTTTCTTTGTTGGTGTGTTTCTAAACATGACACAGCAAAATCTCAGAACCATGACAGTGTAGTTTAATGCAGTACTTTGCTTTATATTTTTGGAAACGATTTCAAAGTAAATCTTGATTTCAGTTTACAAGTTTTAGTAAAAAAAAAATATATTAATATTTTTTAAAAATATATATAATTATTTTCTCTATTTAATACTCTCACTAGTTCGTTTAATTTATCTGTCAACAATGTCCAACACATGCGTGCAATCTTTGTTAAGAAAATACACGCAATTTAATAATGAAGAACAATAAAAGCGAAACATCTGGAAATCATTTGAAAGTAGAAAAAATAAATGCTGAGTGCATGAGAAAAAAAAGGTGTCTACCTTTTTTTTAGTTTTAATTAAAAAATCTCAGGACAAAACAGAACCAGAACGTGTCAACGATAACTTTTTAGTCACGCCCCTCTGGTCTCTCATTGGTTAGACGTCGTCCATCCATTTCATGACGTCAAAAGCAGGCTCTGTCCGTGGAAGATGTTATGAAATCTGTGCAGTCGCAAAGATGTAGTTTACGAAATGCCTGCCTTATATTTCCATACTTTCTGTTACTAAAGGATCACAGGGGCAGCTGTATTTGACGGTACGTTGATTTAATGCCAATGTATTTACATTATACTGTGTTTTTCGCTCTTACATGTGTTATGTTGCCCCCGCCGCATCCCCAGTATTGGAACGGGGAGCCATCAGTAAACATGTACATAAAAAGTATTATATAATGTCAATTATTCTTTAGTTTGTATTTCTATTTTCAATTACTGTGTTTACCATTTATGTATTTATTCTGTATGCTTTGTATGATGTAGTTATAGTTTAAAAGCTTATTATTCTCGGCATATATCCAATTCTCGGCATGTATCCATCTGCAGTTAATTTTAGTTTAATAAAACAGAACCAATGCATGATTAACTATCAGTAATGATTTAAAGGTACACATTGATTTACAGGTAGAGCGCTTGGCTCTAATAAATTGCTGTTTTTATTTCCATCACAAGGCCTCATGAGTGTGATTCAGCTTCTCTCCAGGCTCCTGTGTCTCCTGTCCCTGGCCACTTCAGTTTCTGCTCTCCATGGCCATAACAACACCGTGAGCCATGAGTACTGTGTGCTGGGAGCTGGTCCTGCAGGGCTCCAGATGGGCTACTTTCTGTCTCGGAGCCAGAGAGATTACATCATTCTAGAGAGAAACACAGGACCTGGAAGCTTCTTCAACATGTATGTGAAAATCTGAATAACAAAGGATCTTTTATTAAACTGAGCTACAGCAATTTCAATTAGGAATGTAAACTAAATTATTGCAAAATACTGCAGGAAAATGGGAACATAATTGAGTAAAACATACATTTATGCTAAGTTTTAATTATGTCTATTGTAACATGCAACATAATTCAAATAACTCATTTGCTTTCATTGTCTTAACATTTAGGAACCATTGTTTGTTTTACTGTATTCCTTTCAGATATCCTCGGCACAGAAAGCTCATCAGCATTAATAAAATATACACTGGGAGGCGGAACAAGGAATTCAACTTGCGTCATGATTGGAACTCCCTGTTGAGTGACAGGCCCGACCTCCTGTTTCAACGAATAAGCCGGGAGCTTTACCCCAATGCTGACGACTTCCCACGTTACCTTTCAATGTTTGAGAAGGAGCTGGGGCTGAAGGTTAAATATGGAGCTGATATAGGGAAAATTAAAGCATCAGAATTTAATGGAAACCGAGGCTACATCCTGTCCGATCAGAATGGTGTCAATTACCAGTGCAGGTATAGTATCTACATGAATTTATTTTTATTTAATAATATTTTCTAGCGCTCTCTGATATGCCTTCATAACATGTTCTATGTCATTTCATTTTTGTTGGTCTCCATAGTGTCCTGTTGGTGTCTACAGGCCTTTGGGTTCCTCAGCAGGTGGATTTTCTTGGCTCTGACCTGGTGGAGGGTTATGAGTCTATTCCCACTGATCCCGAGGAGTTTAAAGAACAAGCTGTGTTAATCCTCGGCAAAGGAAACTCCGCCTTTGAGACAGCCCAAAGCATCTTGGGAAGAGCAAGCCGGATTCACTTGTATAGTCCCAGCCCAGTACGTCTCGCATGGCAGACACACTACGTTGGGGACCTCAGGTATTTAATCTGCTCTGTCAACTTTTTGCGAAATGCATTAGATTAAGTGATTTATCCAGGTAGGATTAACATTTCCATCCTTTTGTTCTCAACTAATCACAGCACTGAACCTATCCGTGACCCTTCCACTAAAATCAGAGGGCACTGATTGGATGATTACAATCAGTGTTGCCAAATCCCGTGAAATTGGGCTACTTATGAGTTGCTGCCCTGGGTTGATTATTGTTATTATTTTTTTCCCCGTTGGTTAATCCCCCCACCCCACCACATGGAGAATTCATCCCCTAATGAAAAAAGAATAATGGGCTATTGTTGCTATTTTTTGATTGGCCACAAACCTGCCAACCCTAATTACAGTGTTGTTCCAGGATCAACAAAAGATGTTAATCCTGGAACATGCCATACTTGGCTCATGTTTAGCCAATAAAAACTTATCAAATTCACTGTATCATAATGACCTCTTCATGAACTTCTTATAATTCTGTTCATAGGACAATTAGGACTTGCTTCTAAATCAAAATATTCTCTCACCTTGCCATAGCGAGTGACATAGAGAACGCATACAAATGCAAAATCTGTTGAAATTAAATAATTTTGATTTCTTCTCCAGATATACACTTTTCAAAATAAGGTTTTATTTTTAAAATGTAACATTGACATGACAGTAATTTGAACATAGCCTTTGTAACTGATTTCCAATATCAGCTAGCAGCAGTATCTCTCACATTCCTACTTCATACATCGCTATACTATTGACAATAGACCTTTTTTGCCCAAGACATTTGGCTAATGTTAAGTCGAAATTTACATATGTTAAGTTGAAAGTCAGCATAGAATGGAAGTTGCGATAGGCTTTTTTTCCATATTGTGAAGTATATCCAAGTAAAACAGCTTTTGGAATGAGAAAGAATGTAGGACTGGATTTCGTCCTTCTGGGAATTGAACGGATTGTAGGAAGTTGGGTGCTGCCAACTAAATGAAGGCAGATCTGAATGCCAGTTTGCAGTTTGTTGTGAGGATATTTAGGGTGTTTACACGACAACGATGTACTAAACACAGAGAAGTTTTACCTTTGCTTTTGTTTTCACGTACAGAAAACAACGTTGTCAAAACAATCCCAGTTCACAAGGATCCGTGAAATAAAACAACTAAAACGCTTTAAGCTGCCAGGCCAGTAGTTGGCGATGTCAAATGAAACACTTTTTCACAAATGAAGTCACGTTTTCACAAATTCACGTTTTTATAGTTTACATTGACACGGTAACGCTATCATTTTTAAGAACTTGCACATTGAAACCCATTTTCCAATGTTTGCGTTTTCAGGCCCTCAAAACACCAACGCTGTGTAAATGAACGGCCAAAAACGCATGGAAGGTTTTCAGTTAAAAATGGCGTCATGTAAATGGCGTCATGTAAATGTCCACACTACTGTGTTTTCGTTTAAAAACGGAGACCTTTTGCCACGTTTGCACCTCCCGTCCAGACTAAAACGGAAAAAACCAAGACCTAAAACGGAGAAGTTTAGAAACGCTGCAGCTCCGTTTTGGGTTTTTAGTCTCCGGAGGGCGTTTTAGTGTTGACGGGAAAAAATGGAGGACTTTAGAAACGATGACGCGGAGGCTCTATGATTGGGTGTCATCAGTCATAACGTATCCTTCCCTGATTCGTCAGGCACCGTTTACACCGGCACGCGCATGCCCAGTGTTGGTGAATAGTCAAGTGATCCGCGTTTTGAGTCGTTTTAATGTGGACTGAGATCAATTCTAATACACAGATAAAACGCTGGTGTTGACGGAGATCGTATAGTAGTGTGGACGGGGCCTTAGTCACGCCCTCCATTGAGACACGCATCATGAAGAGAACAGATGTTGTTTGTAGGGTGCACATGAATTTAAAAAAAAAAATGACGACATGCGTTTATAAATAATTTATAACAAACACTGCAACGTTCTGAGTTCAAGTATTGTCCATTTAGATTTCATGGTGACTTTAACATTTCTGTTTTTTAGGGCAGTAAATAATGAGCTATTGGACACGTACCAGTTGAAATCTCTAGATGGTCTAGTAGAGGGAAGACTGGAGGATATCGCCATTGTCCGTAGAGGAAAAGATGGTGGGAAAAGAAGAACAGCTAAGAAAAGAAGTCGAACATCGGTGGTGGGAAAGGAGCCGCTGTATTTAACTCTTACTGAACTGCTTGATGACCAGAATGGCAAGAACATTTCAGAGGTCACTGGTCAAAATCTGCCTGGTTACCACACTGATAACTTCTCCCTCAGACAGCCGTACGACCGAGTGATCCGCTGCCTGGGCTTCCGTTTTAACTTCTCCATTTTTGATGGGTAAGATTTGAACAATTACGTTTCTGAATGTGAATTATTTTCAGATTGACAAAGTATTTTCATTACTCATCCAGATCTGCGCGGCCGCCCCAAAGCAGCGGTGCCCGAGGCCGCTTGCCAGGAGTAACAGCCTGGTATGAAGGCAGAGGGACGCCCAACATGTTTGTCCTGGGTACGGCAGCCCACTCCAGAGATTATCGATCGTCTGCTGGGGGATTTGTTCATGGGTTTCGCTACACTGGTAAGCAGCATTACACCTCACTTAAGCATGACGTTTCAATTGTAGGTCATATTAAAGTTTCTCTGTTTTGCTACTACAGTGCGTGCTGTTCATAAAATCCTGGAGCAACGTTACCATAACATTGCCTGGCCTGCTACAACATTACCCATCAGTCAGCTGCAGTCTTGGATTCTTAAGAGGGTGAACGAAGCCTCTGGACCGTACCAAATGTTTGCGGTTCTTGGGGACATTATTTTACTGCGAGGGTAAGAGATGTTTCAAGGTGTCAATCATTCAGCTGATGAAATACTCAATGAACCCTACTGTTCAAAATGTTGGAATTGGTTTGGATTTTAGATTTTAACTTTTGCTCCACAAGGCTGCATTTATTTGATTAAAAATACAGTGAAATCAGTAATATTGTGAAATATTATTACTATTTAAAATAACTGTAATGGTAATATGTGACTCCAGTCATCCAGTTGTGCTGCTTCATGATTTTTTTTGTTTTTTTTAAAACCATGATACATTTTCTTTTAGGAATATTTCATGAATAGAAAATTCAAAAGAACAGCATTTATTTAAATTATAAATCTTTTGTAACATCATAAATTTACTGTCACTTTAATGCGTCTTCCTGAATAAACAGCAGTTTAAGTCTTTCCAAACGTGCAGGGGACTCAAAACTCGTTTTTAACGACATATTGAAGGGGATTTAATTATTTAGCAAATGAAATACCGTGATTAATGTCTGAATTCCACAGGTCTTACTGTGAATATCTGGAGGAGTTTCCCCTGCAGGCTCTGCCCCAGCTGTCCGCTCTATCTGGTCGGCCTCTCTCAGATCATGGTCTTCTGGTCTTGGTCATGCAGTATGGACTGAACCGGACTGATACGCTAGGGCCCGGTCGGGCTGAGTCAGAATGGACCAAAGCCTGGAGGTCCAACTTCCTCCATCCCGTCCTGTATTACTATAACACTCTACCTACAGGTGAAGAGCTTCTCTAACATGTTTTGTTGATCTCTCACATATGTGGAATTGTATGAGATTGTAGTGTTTTTGAGAAGATATTTTAGACTTTCCGTTGATGTCCCACATCCATGTACTGGAATATTAAAATAAGTGTGCTTTATGTTTCTATAGAGAAAGATATGAGAAAGCGTCCAGTTGGTTGGCCACTACCGCGACCCGATGCCGTTCATCACATGGTCGAGGACTTCCTGACTGAATGGGATCAGCCCGTATCACACAGCCAACCTCTCAGGCGCTTCCTTGAGCACTGCCTCCAAACTGACCTCAGGGCCTTTTATGCTGGTCAGTATGTACTGTACGCAAATGTCAGACATTTGAGTGCCAGTACAATTCACTGAATGTACACATTCTGGATGTTTTACAATGCAAAAGTTTGTATTTGCTTATTCAAAGAATGTTATATTGTTAGTAAAAATAAGATTAAGAGAATGCTGTATGAACATTACCATAACCTTAAATGATATTATAATCACAACAAGAAAACTGGACATTTTAACGTTTTAGGAACATTGCAACTCATTGTTCAAATGTTTGGGGTCAGTAAATTATTATTATTATTTTTAAAGAAATTAATGTTTTTATTCAGCATGTGATTGACGTCTGGAATAATGGCTGGAGTAATTCAGCTGTACATCACAGGAATAAATTAAATAAATTTTAAATTGTAATAATATTTCACAATTTTACAGTTTTTACTGTATTTTTGATCAAATAAATGCAGCTTGAATGCTGAGTATACCGTAAGACACTTTCAGAACATAAAAAAAATGTACCGACCCCAAATTTTTTAAATAGAAGTGTATATGCCAGAAAAAAACATTTGCAACTGTTCTTGTAAGACTTAATCATTTATTATGTGCTTCTATGTGTCCTTTTCCCTCAGAATCCTGTTTCCTTCTGTCCCTCACCAGTCGTACCCTACCCCTCTTTTGCCGCCAAGGTTACTTAAGAAAGCAGGGCATTGTGGGAAACAGCCACCTATGGAAACATGCCCGTGAGGCAGGACTCATGGCAGATCATCTGGGACATGTTCCTGAAAACCTGAAACATGCTGCTGCTACAGTTGTTTCAACTATGAACTTTGACCTTTGAGGGGCATTAATGGTACCAAAGACTGAATCTGTTCCACTTTTAAAATCATCTGTTCATCTACCTCCCACTTCTCAAGGAATCTACTTGCATTTTTAAAGAAAACATCCCACATCCACTGCGCTCAGACTATGATCAAACATACGGTTAAATGACAGTGAAATGAGTATTACCTTAGTTATTATAAGCTAAAGTTTAGCTTTGTATACTGTTTTATGGTGTTGGGTTTGGTGTGGCAGTACAATGTATAACTTATATTTTTATACTATTGTTAAAGTTATATCAAGAATTTTCATGTGTTGACATGCATGTAAGTATATATTTATAACTACAATAAAAACATCCCATCTCTAAATAATTTCAAAAAGCTGTGTTTGTGCTTACCTTAGTATTACAACTAAATTATAGAATATATAATAAAAAAATAAACAGATTGCATTGTATCATGCAAATAAAACAAGTTTAGAAAAGCGTTATTGTAGTAATTTTGTTATTGAAAAGACTGGAATATTAGAAAAGTAGTTTTCAAAATCTAAAACATTAATAACCGAATGATAATAAAATAATAATAATAATAAAATCCAATGTTAGTAAATATGTAATAAAAAAAATCCCAAATTTTCTTACTATTGTTTCGTGAATGTAGGACGCGGTTAGATTAAAGCTAGGCATGAAAGATTCCTGATTTTGCTCCAGTTTAAATATTTTACGTTAAACATTTAATTATTTTAATATGTATTACTTTTTATTTTAAGGCATTTTGGGCCATTGAATTCCAAACAATATTCTTTCTTTTTATAATATAATAATTAGGGAAATCACCTTATATGGAAATCAAGTCCATTACGCTACCATGTCCGCTACCACCATACGTTCTCTGAACGGACCAGTTTCTTAACAACATCGATGCTGATTGGCTATCTAGGTGACGTTGACTCCAGACTAAGCAATACGGGCGTGTTTTACTCAAAACAAACGCAAAACATTGAAACTGCGCCATTTTGGCTCAATTGGACTCACAGTTCACTGCTTTTTAGAACACGGATTCATATTCGAATCGACATCACAATATTAAATCGCAACGAATACAAAATGTTATTTTATTTAAAAACATCGCTTGAAATGCAGTCTTGAAGAATAGCGCATGTGTGACAATGTTGCGTTAAATTTGTTTAACAGATACAGTTACATTCTGTTGGTACATGCTGACATTAATCGAGTAAACGCCTTATTGATATGGACGTGTCGAGCCCACTTGTTGCGGCTGCCTCGGACGGCGAGCGGTCCAGTTCGGAGGGCGAGTACACACTAGCGAACGGGCCTGCGGTGAGAGACCCCGAGAGAAGCGAGGGTGAGACGCCGATGGAGGCTGCTGCAGGTGCGGTCGGGTTCAGTATCTCTCGTCTGGACACGCTGAGCGCACTGAGACTCAACCGAACCCGACCGTCCGCCGACACGGAGCTCCGGTATCTACACCTGTTATGGAAGCCCGGTGAACTGCTACAGGCTGGACGGAGTTCACCGGGCAAGATCACATCGAGCAGAGTGAAGCGGCTTGGAAGAGCCCGGAGGAACATGGGGCCCATTGGGAAAGACCTGTATGGTGTGTATACGCATGCAAAATGTCATTTTACAATTGTTATATCTTATCTAATAATAAAGATATAGCACCAAGATATATATATATATATATATATATATATATATATATATATATATATATATGAAGAGTTCAGATGCAAAAGCCTCTAAATGCCATTTGAAATTTTCTTCTTTAATGATGATTTTTGTCAAACTTGTATATTTAAGTTCAGTAATTTCACTTCAATAACAATTAATAGGTAATTATCATTGCCATTTAAGTGAAATCACTGAAATTAAATATACAAGTTTGACAAAAATCATCATTAAAGAAGAAAATTTCAAATGGCATTTAGAGGCTTTTGCATCTGAACTCTTCATATATATATATATATCCTATATGTAAATGTTGGTTAATTATTAGACAATTTTGTACCACACAAATAGGTAACAGGAATGCTCATCAAGGTTGCATTTAAAAATAGAGGGAAAAAAGCCGCAGAATATTGTGAAATATTTGTTACTATTTAAAATAATGGTTTTCTATTTTAATATACTTTAAAATATAATTTAATTATGTGATGCAAAGCTTAATTTTCAGAATCCTTACTCCAGTGTCACATCACATTATCCTTCAGAGATCATCTTTTAGTTTGCCGATTTGTTTCTTAATGTTGGAAACAGTTTTAGCTACTTAATATATATATATATTTATTTATAACATGTGATTGCTTTTCTTCAGGATTTTTTGATAAATAAAAACTTAAAGAACAGAATTTATTTAAAATAGAAAAGAGACCTCTTTCAAAAACAGCAATAACAAAATAGTAATGTTTCCAAATGGTACTGTATGTGTGGTGTGTGTGTGTATATATATATATATATATATATATATATATATATATATAAGCTGTTTTATTTTCTGTGATGTTTTTTTTTCAATTCCATAGCTAATTATATATCAACTCTATTATAATTAAGTGTTTAAAATCCTAATTTGTGAGATTTTTTTTGCGAACGTGTTAATCGTCAAAACAGATTGTTTTTATTATTATATTCAGTTGTCTTAACCATGATCTGTTTTGTTAACCATTTCTGTATCGTTTTCTCCTTCAAGCTGTGAAGAGGCTCAGAGAAGCTGCCAACTCCAATGATATTGACACCGGTGAGAGTCATCAGCGTGACAGTAGTGGACACACTTGATGCTAAGATTTGATCTACAGTGAGATTAAAGTCTGTTCCCTTTTTTTTTCCCTTCTAGTTCGTAGATTGCTGGAAGATGATACTGATCCTTGTGCTGCTGATGACAAGGGCAGGACGGCCTTACACTTCTCTTCCTGCAATGGCAACGAGAGTATTGGTAAGATCAGACAAAACTGATTAATATTAAAGGGATAATTCACCCAAAAAATTAATTGATGTCATCATTTACTCACCCTCATGTCATTCGAAACTTTCGTTAATCTTAAGACTTTCGTTAATATTCGAAACAAGCCTCCCTTGGTATATCAACCAATTCTCACAGAGACGTAAATGACCAGATATTAGTTTAAACTATAATGTACTTACTACCTTAATGATGGAGGGTAGAGATAATGAATATTTGATCGCAAACAAATTTACCAAGATAACGTTCGAACAGCAGTTACAAATTAAAACATTTGTGTTTGTTCTGGTAATTGGGAAAGTAATTGACTGGGTGAGTAAAATTATTTTTTTAAGCGCTCTGTCTAATGGCGCTTTTCTATTACCAGTACCAGATCGACTTGCCTCGCTTTTCTCTCCGATGTTAACCGGTCATGGAAGCATGAAAATCTATTCTAATGAACCCCTAACACAAATTAAGACTTTGTAAAAGATCATAATAGGTCCTCTTTAAACATTTTCCATTTTCTCTTTCCATCTCCACTTTTAACAATGTAGTTCAGTTGTTGCTGAGTTATGGTGCTGACCCAAACCAGAGAGACAGCCTCGGAAACACACCACTGCATCTGGGTAAGAATGTGCATTAGCAAATTTGTTTGGTACATATTTATTTGCATAATCATGTATAATTAAATCTATATTCAAAGCTGTAAGAAAGAAGCTTACTGTGACTTAAATTGCCTTTTACAGCTGCCTGCACCAACCATGTGCCTGTCATCACTACCTTACTGCGAGGAGGTACGATTGATCGTCTATGACGGAAAAACAAATGGATCTAAATCTTATTCATCCGACATCTTTCTGATATTTCTTACCAAATTCGTAATAAATGTTCATTATGAACCTTCCCTTAGGTGCCCGTGTTGATGCTCTGGACCGTGCTGGACGGACTCCTCTTCATCTTGCCCGTTCAAAGCTCAACATTTTACAAGAGGGAGACTCCCGTAGTCTAGAAACCCTCAGAGGAGAGGTCACACAGGTCATTAACACACAACTTTTGTTGATAATTTACTCACCCCCATGTCATCCAAGATGTCCATGTCTTTCTTTCTTCAGTCGAAAAGAAATGAAGGTTTTGATGAAAACATTCCAGGATTTTTTTTCCATATAATGGACTTCAGTGGGAACCAAACGGTTCAAGGTCCAAAAGACAGTTTCAGTGCAAACTGCAAACTGTTCAAAGGGCTTTAAACGATTTCAGACAGTGAATAAGGGTCTTATCAAGTGAAATGATCGCTCATTTAAAAAAAAAAATAACAAAGTTTAAGTTTTATAAGCTCAAATGCTCACCTTGCTTTGTTCTGTGATGCGCGTTCGTGACTCTCATGTTCGAACTCGTTCATCAAAACGAACAAATCTTTTTCCGAAGTCAATTCGTTCATTTTGTTTGTTGAATGAATGACACAAAAAAAGATTCGTTCATTTTGATAAATGAGTTTGATAAACAAGTTCAAAACTTTATTATGTAATACATTAAAGTTTTTTTAAAAGTGAACTACTCCTTTAAAGTGAAGCATTTACGAAGAACCGAACCGCTCTGAGACACTGTAAACACCCGATCACAGTGCTTTGCTTCACTCTGAAACACGCAGCGCCAGTGCTGCTCCTACACTTCTGGGGGCCGCCCCGTCCATATGATTTTTCCAAATGCATGATTCAATAACTAAAGCATGATAAATATAGTTTACCCAAGAAAGCCTAAGTAAACATACGGAAATACGTCAATAATTATCTAAATGTAATGTACTAACTTTAGACTCGTGGGCATTGCTTTTAAAGCACTTGACAGAACTCACAGGAATGTGTTTTTCTTATACATTAAACCACGCACAAGAACGTTTTGATTATTGATGTATACTACTGGCACAAACTGAAAATTACATTTCATCATGGGGTGTTTCTAACGATACACAAATATAATATTGATATCTAATATTGAACCTGGAGATCTGGATTTGAGCATTGTTGTTTTATGAATTTATTGGTTTGTCAAGGTTAAAAATGCTTTTTTGTAACATTTTAAAATCTTACGTACTTCATTCTTGGCACATGTTATTTCTTTTTTTCTTGCACCAAGACGCATGTAATTTATATGCCACACTGCATGATGTCCAAGTCCAAAACAATACTTAATTAAATACAAATTATAAAGTATTAGAAAAAAGAAATTTCCGCTTGACTCCGCTAAAGTTGAATCACATTTGTATGTTATAAAAAGATATTTTTACATTATAAAGTGATATGTTTAAATACTTTGAGAGCAAGGGGCCCCCTGGTGGTTTGGGGGCCCTACAGACCTTGTATAATTTGTTTTTAGGGAGGACTGGCACTGCGCAGCACATATATTTATTT